ACAACAGTAGTAAACAAAACTTTGTCCTCATGAACTTGCCTTCTAGTGAGGAGATGTACTTTAACAGCAAGAAGCGGAATATCAGGTGGTAAGAAGGGTGAGGAAGAAAAATTAAGCCTGGGGTGATTGTGGGAGGAGGAGGAGGGGCTCCTATTAGATAGTCCGGGCAGTTATCTCCAATGGGATGCTGCTTAGAAAGAGGCAGGCCTTGTGGACGGATAACTCCGGGGAAGAGCACTTTGGGCAGAGAGTACTAAGGCCCTTAGGAAGGACAGCAGCAGGAGGAGGAGAGGAGATCAGGGTGGGATGGGAAGAGGCGAGGATATGGGTGCAACACATGAGGCCTCGAAAGCCAAGGTACGCTCTTTTTCACCCAGATTTTTGTCCAGAGCAACTAGAAAAATGACGTTGACATTTTTTGAGATGAGGATGTCTTGGGAAGGTGCAGCTTTAGGAGCAAACATCAGGAAAGCAGGTTTTGACATACTAGGTTTTACATGCTATTAGTCATCCAGGAGGGTACCTTGAGAAGGCAGCTAAAGTCTTCCAGAGGAGGCCCAGGCTATCAGCATATAGATGGTACGTACAGCCACGCACCAAATGGGGACGGGGGTCAGGTAGATGGACTCAGCATGAGGACCGAGCCCTGGACATTTTCCCACTTAAAAGTCAGGAAGCTGTGGTATCCAGCAAAGGTTGAAAAGGAGTAGTAGCCAGCGAGGTTGAAACACCAAGAGAGAACAATGCCTCAGAAAATAATGAAAGTGTTTAAAGAAGGAAGGCAGGATCAGATTTGTATAATGCACAAATAGGTTCAGCAAAATGAAGACCAAGAACTGGACGTTGGATTTGGCAACATGGAGTTTACTGTTCATCTTGAGGGGGAAGTGGCGTAGTGGATGGAAAGTTTGACCAGAGAATGTTCGAGAGAAAATGAGAATAGAGAAGTGGAGACAGCAAGTATAACAACTGTTTCAAGTAATTTTTTCATAATGAGAAAAAGAGAAATGAGGCAGTAGCTAAAAAGCAATGTGGAGTAAGAGAGGGGTATTCATTTGTTCGTTAAAGATGGGAGATTTCACAGCACGTTTTCATATTTTATCTGAATAAGCCAGAAGAGAAAGAGAAATCGATGATGCCAGAGAGAGGGCGATTGCAAAAGCAAGGTCCTTCCATGGAGGGAGGGGAAGACACCAGGGCACAGGTTGGGGTTGGCCGTGGAGAGGAACAGGGGCAGTTACAGAAGGCGCCTTGCAGTAGGAGAATGTAAGGATATGGATGCAGACGTGCGATAGACTTCGTGGTGCATCTGTGGAAGCTCTGCTGTTATGCTCACATTTTCTCAGTAAAATAAGATGCAAGGCCAGCAGTTGAAAGTGAGGAGGTTTGAGGAGAGAGGAGAATCAATGAAACTCTCTCTTTAAGAGGACAGGAGCACGAGCTGTCTGAGAAAACCAGGTAGGGTCGCCAGGCAGTGTGAAGGGTTTGAGGTCATTTAGAACTCAATGTTAGTTTGGGGTCATTAAGATTAAACCCCCAAACTCCTGGCCTCCCTTTGACCCCGCCCCTCATGTGGTCTTCTTTGAAACATATAGCATCTATTATCTTATTTGATCTACAAACACTCGTGTCCCATTTGACCAAGTTCCAGGAGCATAGATGAGGTCAAGGGCACATTCTCTCCAGGGTCAGGCTTAGAGGTGGGCAGAGAAGTGTGAGAGGGAAGGAAAGGTTGACTCTATTAGGGCCTTTAGCCCCCTACATCCTGTAAACAAAGGGAAATCAATATGTTTTGTGAAGGCAGCAAGCTTCCTTCAGGAGGGAGGGAACGAGCAACTAGAGAGCGTGGTATTGATCTGAGAACAAAATGAGCTTTGGTACACTGAACCCCAGAATTCCGCGGGCCTATCCACTGAAGCCCAAGCGTCACTGGAGCCTCCCGGCCTCCCTATGGTCCCCTGTCTGAAACACAGCGGGAGGAGGAGGGCAGAAACAGGTGACACCTGTAGGCAGCTCACCACCGAGAAGAGAGAGGCAAGGAAGGTGTTCCCACCTGGTGCAGGCCCAGTTTCTCCTCCCAATGACCATCAGGTACGTTATTCCATCAGGTAGGGGTGCAGTGGGGGCGGTGTCCCTCACACAGAAGAACACGGCAGGTACAGGAAAGGAAAGTTCCCTCCTAACAGTCATGTTTTGAAAAGTTTTGGACCATGAAAGGCTGCCTTGTCCCATGCCTGGGCCTTGCACTCCCCTTCAGCCCCGAAGCAAGCACTGGATAGGTGATAGGAAATGAGAAATTTGAGGAATTGCTTACAAGGAATTCACTTACTATGTTGGCCTAGGAAATCAGAGCTAGCCATGGAGGGAAGTGAGGTAGTGAAAAAGAGGAAGGTCCTATCAACCGGAGGCCCAAATGAATATAATTTTTAAGATTTTATTTATTTATTTTTAGAGAGAGGGGGAGAAACATCAATGTGTGGTTGCCTCTTATGCACCCCCCCCCTCACTGGGCACCTGGCCCGCAACCCAGGCCTGTGCCCTGACTAGGAATTGAACTGGTGAATCCTTTGGTTCGCAGGCCAGCACTCAGTCCACTGAGCCACACCAGCCAGGACAATAAGTATAATTTTGATTCATTCACACCAGACAGCTATTGTGGTGTTGGCTGTTGTCATTTTTTTATTTGACAGTCTGAGGAAAAAGAGGTCAGTGCCCCTGACTAAATAGTCAGGCATCGCATGTTTTAACAATTCTTGCGGCTCACTAATGTGCCTCTTGTGGAACATGGTTGCAAAATCACTGTTTTAGAAGGAATGTGCTGGAAAGGTCATAGCTTTTCACAAATTTGAAAATTATCATTGCTCTGGCCAGGTGGCTCAGTGGCTTATATTGGTTAGAGTGTCATCCAAACATGCCAAGCTCAGGGCACATACAGGGGTCAAACAATGACGGCATGAATGAGTGGAACAACAAACTAATCTCTCTCCGTGTCTGTCTGTCTGTCTGTAAAATCAACAAATACAATTTTTTAAAAGAGTTTATGTATTTATTTTTAGAGAGAGTGGAAGGGAGGGAGAAACATCAATGTGTGGTTTCCTCTCACATGGCCCCCACTGGGGACCTGGCCCACAACCCAGGCATGTGCCCTGACTGGCAATTGAACCAGTGACACTTCTGTTTGCAGCCCACACTCAATCCACTAGGCTACACCAGTCAGGGCAACAAATGCAAATTTTAAAAAAATCACTATTATGTTCTCCTAAGTCTTTTTGCTGGGTTTGAATATACTCATTTCCTTCACACTGGTCCTCACAGGAGAAGGTTAAAAGTATATTTATAAGCAGCCTGGTTGCTTTCTGCTGAGCAGGCTCCAGCTTGTTTCTGCAAGCGTGGCCCATGGAGACCACTACAGGACTCCACCCGGCAGGAGCAGGCAGGGAGCAGCCCCCCTGGCCGCACACGCTGCCCTCAGCTGCAATAGGAAGCAGAGGGCCTGTCTCCCTCTCCCTGCTCAGTCACCGTGGGCTCTCTGGCTACTACAACCCCTGCCTTTTTTACAAGTATTGTTGCCAAGGGGAGAGCTCCACCACTCCATATCTGGGCCCTCCCTCCCTCCCTCCCTCCCTCCTTTCTTTCTTTCTTCCTTTCTTCCTTTCTTTCTTTCTTTCTTTCTTTCTTTCTTTCTTTCTTTCTTTCTTTCTTTCTTTCTTTCTTTCTTTCTTTCTTTCTTCCTCTCTCTCTCTCTGTTACATATATTAAAAAGCAAGGATTGGGGGAGTGATTTAATTGTGAGTAATTTTAACTCTTATTAAATTCTTACTGCCATTTTTATCCACATTTTGATCATTTATTATCAGTTTCAGAAGTTTTTGGTGGTGAAGGGGAAAACTAGTGTAATTTATCTGTATCTATCTATTCGGTGACTACATATATTCATTGAGAACCTTCTAAAAGGTTGGTACTGGGACACAGCAGTAGAAAAACAGGACCCGACTCCTGTCTCCATGGAGTGTGCAGTGTAGGATCAGAAAAAGATTCTTTTGGTTTGTATTTTTGAATGAGGGAGATCTCAACTTACCTAGTGATCTGAACCCATCCATAGGAGTTTTTCTTCTTCCCTCTACTTATCACAGAGGAATTAGCCCTTATCCCTTTAAAAGCCCGTCTCTACTTCCACCTTGGGACTTAGACATCACCCCTCCCTTACTCTCTCTCTCTCTCTCCTACATCACCCACCTCTGTCTCTGTCTTGGCGATTCCTTTCAGCACGTACATGTGCTCCAATATTTCGCACCTTCAAACCCCTTTCCTTGACCCAGGTTTCCCTCTCCAGCTACTGCTCTATTCCTTTGTAGCCAGCCCTTCACAACAAAACTCCTTGAAAAGAAATCCTCTAGGCCCGATGTGTCTGATGCTGGAAAAAGTGTGGACGTGTTTGGAACAGCTGTGAGTGTCACGGCAGAGAGACGATAAGCGCGAGAGAGCGCTTTCCGGAGCGGTAGGCACTGAGATCAAAGCCCTCAGCAAATATTTTGATAGGAGGCAGCGGTGTGATAGCAAAGCGGGCGCTGATCTCCCCTCCGAGGACCTGCGCTGGCTCCTGGCTCCGAACCTTCTCTAGACGACTTGGCCTCCATCAACCGCGTCTTTGAGCCTCTGGGTTCTCATCTCTCAAAAGGAAGTCGTGCTATCTCTTTTATAAGTTTGTTGTGACAATAAAACTGGGTTCCTGAAAGTGAAACAAATGTTAGGAAGCATTATTTCCTAACAGTAATATTTCTCTGCTCCATTTTTAAAAAGGGGTTTACTGAAGTCCGGGTTCCTCCAAAATCAAGAGCCTGAGCCCAGGCCAGCTGGCTTGGTCCCTGTTTGGTCCATCTGGGACTGTAATCTTGGGGAGCAGGACTGGGGAAGAGGAGCAGGTGGGGAGGGAGGGAGGGAGGAGAGTCCATTACAAAGTGTGTTACGAAATTGGTCAAAACTGGTGGTGCCTGGTGCTTGATCCCATGGGACCTTCCGAGGAGCCTGATGAAATAGCTCAGAGCTGTCTCCTCGGGGGACTAAGTGGGGAAGCATCTAGCCCCCATTCCCATCTCTATCGCTCAAAGGTAAGCCACTGGGGGCTGACTCCCTCTCTCTTCAGAGTTGCACACTTTGAGTGACAAGTAGACCTCAGGGAGTAAAAGAAAGGGGAAAGGTGTGGGATGAGGAAAAACCAGGTCAGGCTGTAGCTTTGAAACTTACTGGGAATGGGTTCCTGTAGCAATGGCTGCAGTGAGGTGGGTCAGAAGGATCTGAAACGGTGCACATGACCCAGCCCTAGCAAACAAAAATGCAAACAAGAAAATGATGATAAGGCTTGACTTTCATATTTATAGCAGGTACTGTATACCAACTTTTTGCAGAAAGAGAGGGTAAGGCTTAGTTGTTTTTTAACCCTAATATCCCAGGTTCTATCTGTTTCTGTGATATTAAAAAATGTAATCCCCAAGTGCCCCACCTGGCTTTTGGCACCAAATTATAGCTAGAGACAGTGTGACCTAATTCAAAGACATTCGGACCAAGGTCTTGGGCAAACTGCTAAATTTCGCTGGTGAGGCAGAGGCAGAGATTGTGGGCTAACTCGCTACCAACACTCCCCTTCCTCCCTACACTCTAGTGTGTTTGTGGGGGTGTGTGTGGGGGATTCATTATAACCTAGGAAGAGTTCATTGTACTAGGATGAATTCTCATCGGTGAGGCATTGTTAGTGGGGGTGCGCGGCAGCGCCACAGTGGAACGTGTTGAGAAGTGCATCAGCGGACTCTTCAAACATAGACCGCTCTTCACAAACCTGAGTTGAGAAGACACGAACTAGCTGGATGTGAGAAGCTCAGGGAGAACTTTCAGAGACCGAAGATACTAGAGCATGTTTAGAAGTTAATGCAATGAATTCGTGAGAGCAAAATTACTTAAACCACTTTTTTAAAGGTGCAACTCTTTCTAAGAAATATATTTTCTTAGTCATGCTATGACTCAGTATGTGCTCTGTACTCATACAATTCAAACAATGTCTTTTACTATGTAGAATGGGCTGTAACAATTTCTATTTCTAAGCTTTTATATTAATTATATTATAAAAGTATGCTAGACTTAATGCTAAATTTAACAAATTCAAACAAGGCAAAGGTAGATATAGTAAAAACTAAAATTCCTCCTTCATACCTGCCATCTTTCCAAATTCCATTTCCCAACTCAGAGTATTATTGGGAATTAACAATTTGATGTACATACATTCTTCGAAAACATTTTTTCTGTATTTACATTGTATATAAATACATACACAGTTGGTTTTTGTTATGTTTTGTTTTTATGATTTTATTTATTTATTTTTAGAGATGGGGAAGGGAGGGAGAAAGAGGAAACATCAGTGTATGGCTGCCTCTTGTGCACCCCCCTACTGGGGACCTAGCCTACAACCCAGGCATGTGCCCTGACTGGGAATCCAACCAATGACACTTTAGTTCCTAGGCCTGCACTCAATCCACTGAGCCACACCAGCCATGGCTGATTTTGTTTTTTGTTTGTAAATGTTATCATATATTCTCTACTGTTTTGAAACTTGATTTTTTTCTCTCTGTTGAAGGGTTCTTTTTTTATGTCAGTACATTATTATCTACCTAACTTATTCTTTAGAAAGATTTGTAGCTTTCTATTGTATTAATATACTATGATTTCTTTTTATCCTCACCCTAGGAAATGTTTATTAATTTGAGAGAGAGAGAAACATTGATCAATTTGCCTCCCATACATCCCCTGACCACTGACTGAACCCTCAACCCAGGCATGTGCCCTGACTGAGAACAGAACAAACAGCCCTTTGGTGTATGGGACAATGCCCCAACAGATTGAGCTACCCAGCCAAGGCTGTACTATGAATTATTTAAAGCATTTCTCTATTGTAGTACAGAGATTATTCTTAATTTTTTATATTTTCAAATGACACTACAGTGAGTGCTGCTATAGGTATGTGAATATTTTTAGGAAAAGAAAATTGTGGAAATGAATAGATAAAAACAGTCTGATAGATATCACCAGATTAACTTCCTTAAAGGCTAGGTCAGTGTGTATGCCAATGATAGTCCGTTTGTCAATTTTATTTTTATTTCTTGGTTTTAGTTCTTGCTTTGTAAGGTCTTTCCCATTATGAAAATTAATAACACTCTCCCATAATTCCATTTAGTACTTTTATAACTTAGTTTTGCATTTAACACACAGTTTTTAAAAATCTATCTATTTTTAAAATTTATTTATTTATTTATTTTTAGAGAAAGTGGAAGAGAAGAAGAAAGAGAGACAGAGAAACATCGACTGGTTGCTTCTCGTGTGCTCCCTGACTGGGACCAAAGCCACAACCCAGGCATGTGCCCTGACCCAGAATCCAACTAACAACCTTTTGCTTTGAAGGATGACACCCAACCAACTGAGCCGCACCTCTCAGGGTAAAAATTCTATCCATTTTTTTTGAATTGGTGAAAAGTAGAGATAAAACTTAATTTTTTCCAAATGGATAGGCAATTTTTCTAACATCATCTGTTAAAGAATATTTTTTCCCAGTGTTTGAAATGTTGCCTTTATCATATAGGGTTTTTATTTCTAAAAATTTTATTTTATTTCTGAACCCTTTAATCTTTATTGTACTTTTCCATTACCATTTAGGCCCCTATACCCTTCCCCACCACACTGTTGTCCATGAGTCCTTTTTCTTTTTTGCAGAATCTCACCACCTCCTAGCGCCCACTCTGCCCATGGTCCGTGCCATTGATACACAGTGTATCATGCATTCCAGCAATAATTTCACATTGTTTAATTAGTAGTAGCTTTAGAGTTTGTTTGATTACTGACAGAGCAATATTGCCCAGTTGTTTTGTTTTTCTCATTTTCTTGGTTATTCTTGTGTACTTACTTTTATGGGCAACGTTTATAATTTTTATGTTCTATTTTGAAATACTTTAGTGCTTTTGGACATGATTTGCTTATATTTTCCGTATGAAATGTTGTCAAAGTCATCTATATGCAGCAAGGCATAGAGGAGAAGATCAGATGTTTGAGGAGAGTGAAGGTATGAAATAATTATTATGGAAAGTAGGAGAGTTAGCTTATCACATTGTCCTGCAGATGCGTGGGCAACCAAACATGTATAACAGCATCTACCTGCAGTTTGGCTGATCTTTCTCGTCAATGCCCAGCTGCCCAGGAGCAGGCGTGAAGAATGACGGCGTCGGGCTCTCTCTGGGGTTGGGTGTGGCTAAGACGAGCTTCACAGAGGGACAGAGGGGAAAAGAAATGAGGACATTTTTATATCTTTGTCTTCCTTTCAGTAAAGATAGAATAGAAATAACTGTGTTTCCTAATCGCAATTTTGAATATTCCTATTCAAATAGGAATATTTGTGAGTAAATAGAGGCTCAACTTTTTTGTTTTGTTGTTGTTTTGAACATTTTAATAAAATGAAAATGTTAAGATGTAGGAAAGAAAGTTAAATTGTGACTGACACTTGTATTATATAAATAATTATATTGTGTGTGTATATACATATATCTATATAAAATCATGTTGTAATAGAGATATTTTACTTGCAACAGAAGAGCACTTTTGCTGTAAACTCCTATTTTTTGAGTGTGTATATATTTCCCTAACATTTTCTTTGGTACTAAACATTCTCAAATGCTTCCCAGGGGGACCTGGAAATGTTGGTACATATCCATTTGGCAGTTTAGGGATTTGTTAGAGTGTGGGAAAATTCTGAGGTTATTTTCAGGTTACGACATTTGAATACTTCTTTGCAGGTCCAAATAAGAGTTTCTTTTAAAAACTGTAAGGATATCATAGTCTTGATCCTCCACTGAGAGGAGAAACTGATGCTATCCATAAAGAAGTATCAATCAAAATAAAATCCTGAGTAAGAAAATTGAAGACCTAATATACAGATGAAATGTAAAAAGTCTACTAATGTTTCAAATTGTTTATTGGTTTATTATATTTTTCTTTACTTAGATAAAGTTAAAGCACTATTAAAGAGGGGGGTCATGCCCTGGCCAGGTAGCTCAGTTGGTTAGAGCATCATCCTTATACACCAAGGTTGTGGATTCGATCTCTGGTCAGGGCACGTATAAGAAGCAGCCAATGAATGCATAACTAAGTGGTTAGAAACACAACAAATCAGTGTTTCTCTCTCTCTGTCCTTCCCTCCCTTTCTTCTGTCTAAAATCAATAAATAAAAAAATTTGAAAAGAAGGTGGTCCTAGGGGATATGACCATGGAGGTGACCATGGATATGATGGATGTAACATGGATGTCATAAACCAAACTTTTCCCTGTTTTCCTCTCTGTGAATTCGAGCTTCAGCAGGGCGAGTCTCTGTTTCAGCCAGAGGAAATAACTCAGAGCATCTCCTCAGAGGCTCTTGGGATGCTCCCCTGTGCCCACCACAGCTCTCTTAGCCTGACTGCCTTGTTGGTGAGGAAAGACGCCCAGGAGCTGTAGTAACTTTAATGACACGCAGGGCTTGCCTACTGCAAAAAAGGACATGATGCCCTGTATGGTCAGTAAATGGCCTCAGCCAAAGGCATCTGGCTGCTGCCTTGATAGTTCCCATCAGCTGTCAGTGCACAGCTTCATATCTTGATATCATTTTAGATGAGTTGTTGTTGTTCCAGTCTAGATTCCTGCTCATTTTTAAAAATTTATTTACTTTTAGAGAGAGGGGAAGGACAAGAGAAAGAGTAGGAAAGAAACAGCAAAGTGTGAGAGATACATTGATTGGTTGTCTCACACTCACCCCTAACTAGGGGCCCAACCCAGGCATGGGCCCTGACTGGGAACTGAACCTTTGGTTTGCAGGCCAACGCTCAGTCTGCTGAGCCACCCCAGCCAGGGCATGACTGCATTTTTCAGGAGCTGCCAGCAACCTCCCATTCTGCTGCTGTGTATGATCAGTCACGATTTATTCTCTGAACTTTGAGGGAAGGCAGTAAAAATAAATTTGAAACATCAGTATGTTCTTGGCATGTACCACCAGTTAGAAAATTCACACTTCAGAATCTGACTTCTATTGCTACCCACTATCTCTATCCAATCATAAGTCCAGTCAATTTTACCTTAAAATATATTTCTTATATCCATCCCCTCCTATCCACTGGCAATGTCAAGTTTTTAGTTCAAGTCTCCATCATTGCTTATCTGGTTCATTATCAAAGCCAGTTAACTAGTTTCTCTCATCTTTTGAAAATGTACACCTACTCATAGTACTTCTCTCCTGAACAATTTTCTATGGCTTGTCTGCCCAAATGGCTGACGTAAATTCCTTCAAGTTCTGGTCCTTAGCCATGTTCCTTGCCTCATCTTCTGTCATTCTCTCATTGGTGCTCTGTGCTCCTACCACATAGAATTGTCAGCACTTCCAGTGTTGTTGTTTTGCCCAGTGGTGAAATTCAAAATATCTCAAGAACACCCACCAGAACGAAGCCCATGCCCACTCCGAACTAATGCATTGGGACATTCTGCTGAATGTCAGCTCTGGCTGCAGTTTCCGGCACCTTGATCTTGATTCTCCTCCTGAGGAACTTCTGCAGATCCTTCACAAGATCCAGAGAAGACTAGCCTTTAAACAGTGTTAGAGGTAAGGGACAGTACCATTTAGAAAGGTTTGTGGACCTTGGTCACACCACGACTAACATTTCCAGTATCTATGCGGAGCCTGAAGTATTTGCACAGTAGTCACTATTTGCAGGACCTTGAATGACCTTTTATATTTCTGTGATGTGCTCACAGAAACTACTGCCTCCTCTCTGGTTGCTTAATAAATAGTTTTACCTGCTTTTGTTTCTCAGAATTTAATCAGCAAGAGACACCTACCTCTCCCACAAGCCCATCAGCAGATCAGTTTTTTAACCAGGCTCAATCTTTTTATTTCCGTGCTGACTAGGAAACATTATGTCCTGAACTGACTGACCTACAATTACAAGGAAAAGTTCCAATATCTTCTCTGACAAGAAAGGAAATAATACATGTTTTTCTTCAGTCCCAGTAAGGGTTGTGTAAACTACTCAGCATTAATTCTATTTCCTTCATCAGCATCATTAAGAATTTATTGCCCTGGCTGGCGTAGCTCAGTGGATTGAGCGCAGGTCTGCAAAACAAAAGATCGCGGTTCAAGTTCCAGTCAGGGCACATGCCTGGGTTGCAGGCCAGTTCCCAGCAGGGGACCCATAAGAGGCAACCATACATTGATATTTCTCTCCCTCTCTCCTTCCCTTCCCCTCTAAAGATAAATAAATAAAATCTTTAAAAAAAACGATTTATTATCAAGTTGCTGTTCAATGCAAAACATTAGGCTGGCACTGAGTGACATGTAAAGAAGTAACTGACACAATCCCTGCTCTCCATGAGCTGACGGTCTGCAGTTGAGAAAAGACGAGATAAGACATGAACAGTCGCAATAATAATAACTTTCACCAAACGAATTCATTAGCATTACCGCCAAATCATAAACACCATGGCTATTAAGGGGAAGGAGGGCCCGTGTTGTTCCTTCAGGTAGGTGAGGCTCTCTGGAGGAGTTGGGTCTTGAGCTGAAAGGAAGGGGAGCAGTTTCAACACTGTCCCAGCGGGAGGAGCAGTGTAGGCTACGGGCGTAGGTAACACAGAACAGGGTCAAGCAGGGCCTTGACCTTGAGATGAGGCCAGAAAAGTAGTTGGGCTGGAACTGAAAAGAGAATTTTGCCAGGAGGGGGCATCTGTGGTTTAGAACAGGAGTCTTAGAGTTTTATTTAGCAGGAGCTTGACATAACCCACTTAAAAAATATTAACCAGGCCGTAGTAGTGTTACCGAACAAGAGGAGGTCCGAGGGAGGGGCAATACAATATTCGGCCCACCTAGAGATGCCCAAAACTGCTATACAACAGGGGCCCCTCCCGACAACCAAAATACTAAAATCTACTGGGCCCTTCTGTCCGCCGCCAATTGGAAACACATCTCTTAATGCCAGAGATTTGTGAAAAGGAAACAAAAATGTTTATTTAATGCTATTCAGGCCTAATGCCACCACTAAAATATCAAAGTCCTTTAGGTTATACACCTACACCCACACAGCACTCCCTTCTCCCACTGTCCCAACTCCGGGTACCGTAAATCAGGAAAAGAGCACACATCTTTTTTTCAGGCCGCTGGCACCGTCAGCTGTGTCACCGTGCAGGCAGGATCTCGAGTTAATCCAAAGTACTGTGGTACCCTCTCATGGTCCACTGGCAAGAGTCCTTTGTACCCAGTTCCAGTCAAAGTCTCTGTTGCTTTTCAGGCCCCGCGGCCAAAGGGGGCACCCCAAAGCCGCGTGGGCCTCTTCTACCAAAGCTGCAGGAGTCCGCACTCCACCAAAAGTATGTGGCTGTCTTCTTCACCTGGCTGCAGGGATCTCCATTCTGGCAAAGCTGCGTGGTTTTT